TTGTCTATCACTAGGAATCCGTACTCGCGCTGCCAACAATCGCGGCATAACGCACAAAATTCATCATACGACATGTCAGTATTCACATGATCGTTGTAAACATGTTTCAAGTTGGTACCATCCTGTTTAAATAAAATCAGCAAGTTCGCATTGTCGCGTATCAGATGTTTAGGTATCTTCGCATACGTCTGACAGAGATAGAAACAATCGACGTTCGAGTGGCGACCCATCGAGAAATACTCTCTCATCACATCTTGCTTATCACATGCAATGTCGTCGAAGACGAAGATCGAATTTGGACGTGCCTCGTTCGGTGGGATGACGTCACTGTTGTTGGAAAACGTAAAATAGCCGATTTCGTCGATCGATGCCAACAAAGTTTCGAGATATCGATATTTTGGTTGTTGCAATGACTTTGAATACACGTACACGTTCTCGAAACGTACACCGTGCGGACTCTCGAGCAAACTTATGAGAACGTTGGTTTTACCGCAATTCGATGGACCGCAAATAATCGCGCGTATAGTACTCGGTAGTATTTCACCATGCTTGCGCTTTGTCGCGATGTCTCCCATCATTTGCTACTTTCTCGTCGTAGTTCACGACGTGTATCGTCTGCGGGTACCGCACGAATTTCATGTTCACACTGCGTTATCTAGGCTTTGATTGAACGCCTATTTATAGGCGCGCGAAACCGCGATTCGCTTAGTAGCAAAAATGTATCTCGCGCTATCGCATCTATTTGATATTTGGGATTTGCGCGCTGAACAGTTGCAATATATACCGAAGATCATATTGTTACGCATATGTGGTGACTATATCGACCACGTGTAGGACAAACTTCCGGAGCATATAAAGGCGGATTTGGAGGTTCAAATCTATCGTCGCTGCATCGAGCATTATAATCAATCGTGGCAACGTACGCATATAGACGGCCCCGCACCGAAGATAAAGGATTGTAACATATGTCAGCAGCAACGAACAAAGGCTGCGTTGGAGGACTGCTCAGTCGAGCGATAAATGCGCTTCCTTTCGAGTTACATATTCCTGGCTATCAGTTTTGCGGTCCGGATACTCGGCTGAAAAAGCGATTAGCCAGAGGTGAAACGGGCATAAATCCACTAGACGCGGCGTGCCATGAATACGACATTGCGTATTCTCGGAGCAACGATCTCACCGATAGACACGCGGCGGATAAGATACTCGCCGATAAAGCCCTAGGACGCGTCATTGCGAGAGATTCGAATTTGGGCGAAAAAGCTGCCGCTACAGCTCTTTGG